AAAAAAAAAAAAAAAGCGAAGACCCAACTACCTGACTAAAACATAAAAAATGTCAATTATATTTAGGTATCCTTAGGTTTTTTTACATTTTCAAAAATAATAATATATAAAATAATAATAATAATTTTTTTGTTTATATTTAAAGTCCCCAAGAAATCAAAACCAACAATATGATTCTGTTAGCTCACATTGCTAGTTTTGTGGTGAGCAATTCATCTTTGCATGGAATTAAGAAGAAAAACAATAGTTTGCTCTTGTAATCTTTAATTGAAATCTGCAAATGCTCTTCCTGTTTGTTTTCAGTTAAATTCTCAGATAAGGGCTGTCTGTGATATTGGGCGGGGCTAACATATTTAACCACGCCCCTCTAGCTGTCAGTTTTGACATCTAACAGAAATGGTGAGGAGGAGGAGGAGGAGTCTGTTGGGTTGTAATAATCTTTTCCCCATCTTTCTGAATGAAATGTCTATTTACTACATCCAATCAGCTGTCAGGAGAAAAAACAAGCCACGCCCACTGTTTACTCATTTAACATTCACTTTCTTTAGGAACTATGCACAATACCAAAAGAATAACGATCGCAGCTTCTGGTTCATTGGGACTTTAATATTTTTTTGTAAAATAAAAAATTATATATATATATATAAATTTTATATAATTTTTTAAAAGCATTAAAACAAATCTGAAATAAACTAATAAAATGATTAAATTTGAAAAAAAAAAGATAAAAAAATATAATAGCAAAAACTAAATTAAATTTTTTTAAATGTAAATTAATAATTTGTGATATTCAAATATTGACAAAATGACTTTTAAAAACTTTCTTGATAAATAACATAAAAAACTAAAACAATTGACGAAAAAATAAATTGATAAAAATAATAAATTAATTAAACCATTAAAAAATAACTATATATTAAAACTTTAATAACACCTTAACCATGCAAAAAAACAACACCGAGCTGCAGACACAGACATTTTCTCCCCCGCTTATTTTATTCCTCAGATTTTGGGATGAAAAAGAAACACAGTCATGCATTCACAGGGAACACACAGACTCTGAAGAATAATACCTCCAGCACAAACCCCGTCTGTGAACGGTGATCCACAAGTGTTTTACTGGTGTGCGTGTGTTTCAGCTCTGTTCTCCTTTACTTTGGGCCTAGCATGTCATGAGGTCGAACCCACTCCTCAAACTGCTGCTCGTTCAGGAATCCCAGCTTCAGCGCCGCCTCTTTCAGAGTCGAACCGTCTTTATGAGCGGTTTTCGCAATTTTTGCGGCTTTATCATAACCTGCAGTCACAGACAGAATATGATATCAGAGATGACACACACACACAAAACGCGCAGTACAGTGGACCGCAACGTGAAGCAGACGCTTTACAAAAGTTGCGTGTAGGGGGGAAACTCGTCGAACTTATGAAATGTGAGGAGATTTGCATTATGAAATTACATTAGCTTACTAATAACCTGTGGGGGTGGGCTGGGGCCACATACTTTGAGGAGCACTTTAAGAGTGTTTCCTAAAAAATAATTATATTTTTAATTTTTAATTATAATTATATAAGTCATAATAAGTCCTATTTTTTATTGTTTATTTCATGAATAAAAGCTGTTTTTAATTTAAATAAAAATAGGGTCAGTATTATTAGCCTCCTTAAAAATATATTTACAGTATATTTTTGATTTACACAACAAATCAGTTACAAAACAATTCGACTAATTATTTTAACTTTCGTAGTTAACTGATAAAGTCTAAATTACACTTTAATCTGAATAAAAGACTATAAAATACTTAAAGGGACTTTGTCTGAATACGACTGTCTTGCAAAATAACTAGTAAAATGTTCTGCACTGACTGTCAGCATGGGGAAGATAAAAAAGTAGATATTAAATGAGTTAGTTAAACTATTATGTTTAAAAATGTGCTGTAAATAAATCATGTGTTGAAGACGCAAATCAAAAATGAATGAAGGCAAAACTAAACGAGTTAAATGTGACTGAAAACTACATCTGATCAATGTTCAACATCAACATCTGTTCTTTGGTATTTGCCGACTGTTTGTAAATTCAAGACTGCATTTCCTAACGTTAAACTATGTACACTATATTACTGATTAATAATGGTCTCTGCTTAGCCGAGGATTTCCTATATTAACTGTGTTAAAATCGTTATTGAAAACAGAAGTCTAATATCATCAATTTTGACAGTGTTTCACAACATGAACATGACTGAAGTTTAATCTTTTTATTACCTGTGTCAATTTGGGCGTCAACTGACGAATGCGGGGAACTGATGCGCGCAGCACCGTCACAGAGAGAGCAAGTGTCGCGAAAACAGAGGGAGTGCGAGGGAGCGATTGCGCGTGACACCTAAATACTTCTGCGTCAAACGCCGGCGTATGCTACGGCGCTGACGCATAGCCCTTCGCCGTGGTCGTCGCTGAAGTGCACCTCTCAAAAAATGTAACTACACGTCGCAATGACGCGTAGCGTAAGCTCTGTGATTGGTCGGCTTGGTATCAATGACGAGTCTGGGCGGGGCCGAGAGCCGTGTGAATGGTGCGAGCCTGATGGAGCGATTGTTTACAAGTCCCGTAAAGGAGCTCCGGACGGAAAGTTTTGTTTTGTGTTTACCTCATAGTTAAAGTTGTTGCACGTCCGCCGGTTCCTGCCTCAAAATGAGCGAGTTTGAGCCACTTTTACATCCCAGAAGTGTTCAGGAAAAGCAAAACAGCAGAGAAGAAACTCGACACAGAGGAACATTTACACCTCACTACCAACTAGTGTTTCGGAAGTGTAAATGTAGACCGACAGAGACAGCAGCAGAAGTATAAATGCACAGCCACGCGCATCGCATGCGCCGTGGGTTACGCCGGTCACTTGACGCAGAAGTATAAACCAGGCTTAAAGCCCGCGAGAGAGGCATTCCTCTTCCTTTGAGCCCTCAAATGTGTCATTAAGTTTGCCATGTTTCCTTCTTACACGCAACTTTTGTAAAGACAGTTGCTGTAAGAATCCTTGCTTGTAAAATATGCTTTAGAATGCTTAGTTTAAGCAAATTGGATGAACGTGATCACGCGTGTAGATCTGAAGAGTGTCGCTCTCGCTCACCGAAAACCAGGCTGAATGCGCTGTACTAGGCCTACGTTGCGTGCGTCTGTTCCCAAGCGACAATAACAAACGCCTGATATCGCCTGTCAGTATTCCTCAAAGTTGTTTAGGATTAAATGTTTAGTTATACTGTGACACAACGCCTATGTGTGCCTTATTTCATGCACTCCTTTGATGCTTCTTAGGTCCTTGCCGCAGCACCGAAATTCATTCGCTGATTTAATACCAGTATATACCGGTTAACAAGGTATAGGGTTGTAACAATATACCGGTATGACGGTCTACCACGATTTGAACGTGCACGATTATCATACCATGAACAATTGCATATCAACGGTTTAACCCTTAAAGACCGAGACAGCCGCCCGCGGCTAAAAATAAGTATTGCTTTTAAATGTTTAATAACTTTTGATCCGCTGATCCGATTCATACAATTCAAAGATTGGCATAAAGAAGAGAATCTCAGCTTTCCAGTGCTGTATTTCAGAGGCTCCGGAATCAGTGCGGTTACGTCATCAAAATTTGACAACGCTGATTTGACAAAGAAACGCTCGTCACTGTGTCTCCGGACAAACCAGACATGATACATTGATGCATTGTCACTCCTCCATGCCCAGATTGGTTCAAACTCGCTATATCACAACCAATAAGCATAGGTTTCGCTTTTGTTTGTGGACCAACATGAGCTTTTTGAACAACATGGAATGAGAGATAGGCATACATTTATGCGCGGCTAAATAAAACGCAAAAAAAAAAGTTTTGCATGAAATAATTTTCATACTAAGTACTTTTGCATGCACAGCAGCACAGAAACATGACAAAACAGTGACACAGCAAAGACGAACTGCTGCTCTTGCTGTTTTCAAAAGACGCAAATGAAGGTGCAGCTGTTTGTCTGCATTGCAGACAACCAAATCCAAATCCATATCCACAGACAACCAGATCCATGCTGGCACATAAAACCTAAGGATGTTCCATATTGAATCTAGTTTCGTTATGTAACTATTTATAGTACAGTAAATATTTATATCTATTTTTTTACTGAGGATTTGCACCATGTTTATTTGGACTTTATTTGGACTTTGACACATTATTTATTATTTTCTTATTTTTTTATTTGTTCATTGTAAGTGATGTTGTTTATAGTGACTGAAAATATATTATTTGGAAAAAGTCAAATTTGCTTCACTGTTCTATTATTTTGTAACATTTGTAACATACCGTATACCGCGAAACCGTCAAACCGTGCTATTGTTTTAGACGATTATCATACCGTAAAAAATTCATACCGTTACAACCCTACCAAAGTACCAGTGCTATAATGGCACTGCATTTCGGTACCCAACCCTAATCTTTAGGTTTTCATTTATATTATTTCATTTTATTTTATTCTTAAAATCAGGTGTTTATTATTAGAGTGGCATCCCATACTCCTCTTCTGTATTTAAATGCGCTGCTAAGGTTTCTCAGTAACACCATTGCAAATCCTTCTTTATAAGTATTTTGAATGTGCAATTGCTTTATTTAAATAAAAGATCGTCCAAGAGAAAGCTATTTAGTTTCTTATGAGTATATTTACACTAGCAGTGGAATTTATAGCGATGCGACGGGGCGCCTCCTGAAATCTTGCCTAGGGTGCCAATAGGTTAGGGCCGGGCCTGTTTGAACGTATTGTACTGTAATTTAAGAAATCTCATTTTGAGATTGTAAGTAACCAATTAAACAAATTTTCATACAGGTATTAGTGTCTATGAGATTATTTATTTTCCCCCAAACTTCTCCAGCACTATAGTGCTGTTTTCCAGACCATCTAAACCAGGGGTGCTCAGTCCTGTTCCTGGAGATCTACCATCCAGTACAGTTTAGCTCCTACCCTGATCAAACCCACCTGAACCAATTAATTAGGACCTGAAATCCACTTGATAATTACAGACAGGTGTGTTTGATAAGGGTTGCAACTGAAATCTGCAGGAAGGTAGATCTCCAGGAACAGGATTGGCCATCCCTGATCTAAACTGTGTGAATGTGAGCGCCCTCTGCTGGGTGTTACCTATATGTGGATTGAGGGCGGTGACCAGCATCAGAGACTCGCTCATCAGCTTGTTGATCCTCTCGGTGTTCGCCTCGATGCCGACCACGCAGTTATTAGTGAAGGAGACCGAAGCATCGCCCAGCAGCCTGGCCGAGTTCAGCACGTTCTTAATCTGAAAACACACACAATAAAGCTTCATTAAATTAGGGAAAAATCTATCATCATCAATGTTTTGATCCACCTATCATTAGGCACATTTTAAAACACTGAACTAAAAATGCATCATCCACATTCGACATTGTGCAATGCAGAATTGGCCGACATCGCTCAACCCTAATATGGCCGTTGTAAACATGCACCATAAATGCAGTAAATGTGTGGCTGCAGTGAAGAGGAGTTTCAGATTAGTAGTTTTTAAATGCGACTCACGATCATGGGCTTGAACACATTGAGCTCGAAGTGTCCATTGCTTCCCCCGACAGTAACGCCCACATGATTCCCCATCACCTGAGCGGCCACCATAGTCATGGCCTCACACTGCGTCGGGTTCACCTTACCTGGCACAGGTGACAGTGTGTGATTAATAGCAGATCATTAAAGAGAACTCAAAACACACACACATCTGTGATTCTAATGAGTTAAATGTCAAATTATAGGGTTTTTTTTGGTGAGGTAGGAGGTAAAGGAGACCCATTGTGCCAATTTTTACAAAATGAAAAGTCTCTGATGTCCCTAGAGTGAATAGTGAAGTTTCAGCTCAATATTGCACACAAATACTGCTTCATACCTCTCTAAAACTGACCCTTTTAGGCTTTGATCCTAATTGTGGCATTTTGGTGACTGTCGCTTTAAATGCAAATGAGATTGTGCTCTTTTCAAAAGAGAGCAGAGCTATAAACGCCTGTGTCAGCATAGTGGCAGACTGAAAACCGCACTAGTGTTCTCAGTGCTGGTCAGGTGTGCATGTGTGCTTCAGTGTGAGTGTGTGCTTCAGTCAGTCTATGGAGACTCCTGTCGCCGTTCATTTGCGCTTCATCTAAAACTCCACATCTATAATCCTCTTAGTCTATGCTGACATTATCTTCAGCAGCTCAAACACTCTAATGGCGAATGGACAGACGGCTGCTTCTCACTCAGGGCTGCTGTTTATGCTAATGAGGGAGAGATGGGCACTAGTGGGCGGGGCTTCCCCCCTTTAATGACACATACAAAGGGAGAAAGCCAATCAAAGCGTTTCTGTTTTTATCAAGTCTGAATATAAACAATACAATTAATTAATGTTTACCATTAGAAGCTGGTTTTATTTACACACTGCTGACACACAACTGAGTTTAAACCCCTTAATGCAATTATAAATCATCTAACTTGAAATTCTACATCATGTCTGATGTCCTCGGTAATCCTCTGATTGGCTGTCTGGCCTGTCTCTCACCGGGCATGATGCTGGATCCGGGTTCGTTCTCTGGCAGGATGAGTTCTCCGAGACCCGAACGAGGCCCAGAGCCGAGGAAGCGGATATCATTGGCGATCTTCATCATGCTCACGGCCACAGTGTTTAGAGCGCCGCTCAGCTCCACCAGAGCATCATGAGCCGCCAGAGCCTCGAACTTATTGGCTGCGGTCACGAACGGAAGACCTGCCAATGGAAAGAGGAGGAAGGCTGAATACACACACAAACACACTAGATGGCACAAAGATTTGTGTCAAAACTATTTCTAAATTCAGTTCTAATTTCCAGCAAACGAATGAATGAACAATAATAATGAAGTGTGCTCAAAAACCTGAGTTATATCCTAAAACACATGCTGTGCCCCATATGGTCTAAAACCTGACAGGTGGACAAATCTAAGCTAGTTTTTAATAAAAAAAATATAAATATGGATATAATAAATAATACTGCTAATAATAATAACATTATACAAAAGCAAATTGTTATGAATGAACTGAAAAAGCCTCCCGAGATGAAGAAGACATGAAAGCAGTGGTTTTTCATATTTATGTAGGCTAGAAAATAATATGTTTTGTAATATTTTAATCCTTTATATTTATATCCTATATCTATTCTTATTATATCCTATATATATCCTTAATATTTACATTTTTTCATATGTAAAGATATTTGCCTATTGTTCTCTTGTGTGTATTAAGCAGTGTGTAAGAGAGGCGCAACTCTGCGCTGGAG